CACATTGGTGAGAATTTGCCGTAATCTGCCTGGATCTCCCATTACGCGCAGGTCTGCCCCAACCTCATCTTGTATGGAACTCTGGTAATCCAGACCCTTCCTCTGTGCAGCAAAAGACATCATCTGAGCGGGTCAGTTAGGACAATGAGGTCATACGCTGTAGTCTGCGACATACCTTGTTCACGTCTCGGAGGACGACGCTGAGACTGAACTGCACCTCCTCAACGTCAAGCCGTCCTGACTCAACTTTCGAAAAGTCCAAAATGTCGTTGATTACCGTCAAGAGACTGTTGGCGCTTCGATGAATGTTCTCGGCACATTCTTTCTGTTCCTCGTCCAGGTTCATATCGAAGAGGAGTTCAGACATGCCAATCACGCCAGCGATAGGTGTTCGGATCTCGTGTGACATGTTAGCCAAGAACTGCGACTTCATCCGACTTGCTTCTTTCGCTGCCGCTTCGTTGGCCAGGAGCCTCGAATTCTCCTTCTCTTGCTCCTTGAGTTGTTCTTCTCTTTCTCGCAGCTCGGTTATATCCATAGAAACACCGATCACACCATTCACAAAAGTATTGCCGTCGACGCCTGCAGTCCTGGAAGTGCTCATGAGCGGTACTAGACGGGTCCGGTAGTAGCGAGCTTCCGACATGTATCTCCCGTTCACGATCTCAGCTGATTGTTTTCCCTGTAGGATCTCCTGAATAGGTCCATGCCATCGCGCTCGATCATTGCTGGGCAACTCAAAGACATCGAAAACATTTTTTCCAACCAATTTTTCCTTGTTGGTTCGTTCGGTAGCGGCCATATCGCCTTCCAGGACCTTGACCTCATTGTTGCGATCAATAACCCAGAGGACAATTTTCGCGTGCTGGATGACCTGCTGCAATTGCTCTCTTGTTTGACGAGCCTCTTGACGAGCCAAGACAAGATCGTGGATATCGGTGCATGTGCCGAACCACTTGACTATGCGTCCGGAGTCGTCGTAAAAGGGCAAAGCTCGTCCTAACATCCAGCGCCACTCCCCATCATAGCGCTGGCATCTGTATTCTGTGTTGTATTCTTCGCCTGTCTTGAGAGAGTGGAACCAACGTTGAGCGGTCGCTGCCATGTCATCTGGATGGAACGGTAGGCGCCAACCTTCGCCTATTGATTGATCGACTGTCAAGCCTGTGTAGTCATACCACCGTTGAGAGAACCAGTCGTGAAGCCCATCAGGCGTAGTCGTCCATACCATGACCGGCATGAAGTTTGCAATGTACTCAAACTGCTTCTCGTTCTCTTCAATCTGGGCGGCAATTTGCTTGGTATACTCGGTGATATCCTTGAAGATCACTATACCACCAAGGAAATCGCCAGTCTCTTCGTGGAATACAGGCTCGCCGTTGATCTCATACACAATCCGAGTACCTGTGAGCGGATGTCGCATACCGATGCGCCGTCCTCCGACTCTCTCTCGTGTACGGCAGACCTCAATAATGGGGAACTCGTCGAGGTTCAGAAGGCGCTGGAAATCTTCGGTCCAACAGTTGAACTGGCTGAGAAAATCGAGCTGGTCTCCGGGCGCATAGGTGGAATCTTTCGAAAGTAGCCGCAGGAGGGCTTTGTTTGGAATTCCGAAGCTTTGGTCTTTCCACATTGCTGTAAAAGAGTCAGTCGGAGAACCTCAGGTAGGTGTGGAATCATACATACCGTATGCGGGCATGGTAATAGAGTTCAGGATAGCATCCTTGAGTTGTGTTGCCTTTTGGAATATAGAGGCTGAATTCGCAATGTCGGCCTTGCCTCTAGTAGGAGGACCTCGAGGTGGAAATTCTGGCTGCTGTAGAGTAGGCGTAACGGCTTTCGAAGTCGAATTCGAACTGCTTCCCGAACGCCGGCCTGAGGAAGAGCTCGACGAACCCGAACTTCGTGACTTGTCGAGGCGAGCTCCTGTATTTGTACGAGTGACTATACGACTGGTGGGTGGTGGCGCACTCTCAGCAGCTACTGCACTTGTGAAAGTCAGCGTGTAGTATTGGTTATCATCAATGCTCCAGATGGATATGATGCAAGATGCCTGCATTGCATTCTCATAATCTTTCTTTCTTTCTGACTTTTTCAAAGTGCCGTCGGGATCCAAAGAAAGCGGCGCAATGACCACCTCTACTGATACGTCGCGTACCATTGTTCGTGCAAGGTTTGTACTGCTCAGGCGCGGCAATGGTTTTGTTGATTTGGGTTCCCCTAGAGATGGCATGGTCGCTGCGGTCGGTGTGGTGTGGCCGCTGCCCATATGAGAATCTCCATCTTCGTCTAAGCTGCTTGCTATTGAGTCGTCGATTACGCAATCCAGAAAGCTCTACAAAAGTTAAATCATTAATCCATGGGCAAATGCATGGGCTATAACGAACCTCCCATGTGATCAGAATTGGAGAGCCGTTCTGTAGAATATCTACACCAAGATCACCCATAGTCTTGTCCTGCAACGCTTCCGCTATTGAAAGATCATGATCACCTTCCAAGTCAATACCAAAAAGGCGACCCATGGCCTCGTTTGCAAGCACTACGGTCTTCTGGGCAGATAAGACAAGAACCGGCACTGGCAAGTACTGAAGCGCAGTAAATGCAGCCATGGTGGCTGACGGCTCTGTGAGATGGATTGACATTGAGTCGCTACGAATCGAGCTGGGAGACGCAGATCTGGAGCGAGAGCGCTCTCCCATAGGAAAGTAGCCGCCATCGCCGCTGTCGGTCTCTGTCATCATGATCACGGTGGTGTGGTGGCGCGAGTATTATGGCCGCGTAGGGTTGTGATGCGACTCGTGTATCCGCGAGCCGTGGCGACCGCCGATGATAGAGCCGATTCGGAGCGCCTCAACCAGACCAGTCAACAACATGGAGTAAACGCCGTATCCAGATCATGAGCAGTTTCGTGCGCAGCCGTATTCGAGATCGGGAGAGGGAAGTGCGAGTTTGCAGCGTGGAAAGATGTTGGGCGGTGTTTGTCGACGCGCTTCGGTGATCGCTATACGAGGGGTCGATCGGTAAGTCTAGACCCTGACAGACGCTACCAAGGTAACAACTACCGATGCTGCGAAAAGTGAATCGGGAGAGGCGACAAGCACACAAAGGCACCACCAGGAAAACGTATGAGTGAAGGTCAGAGATGTCGCGAAGTTCTAGAATCACGCTTCCGGGACGCCGGGTGCTATAGCAATGACGCAAATTTGGCAGGTGAAAGAAGTCGACGCACCTTTGAGACGGCGCGCGTCCGTAGCGGCCATGGGGAATATGCCCGAGCTCTGCCATTCGACGGAACATGGTTGTCGGTTGTTTGGCGCGAGATCTGGGGGGTCGATTCCTTTGGCTGATGCGACGTCGATCATTGTGGGCTGAACACTGTTCGGTTAAGGGTCTCCACGGCTACCTTGGTAGGTACCTAGGTACTTCCCCGTCTTGTCTCTATCATTCTTGAACTGGGCATTACATTGTGTGTATTGAACATGTCGACAGTTTGATCTGATAACGATCTCCACTAATGTTCATGGTCTTCTGTTGAGGCTGGGGATGATCGACCGGCGGTCTAGAATGCCGCTTGACAAGCCATGCACGGCAATCGAGAAATTCCTATGATCACGATGCAAATGTACCTCTTCCGGGATCACGATAACTTACGCACATGCGGAATTGGTGCTCAAGTAGACATAGCGCACACGGTATTCCCATGCCATTTTCTTGGGGCGATGTCCTGTGAAGAAGGCCGAGCTGCTTCAGGATACGCTGTGGTAGGCGTTGCGCTTACATAATCCCGATGATGGTGATGTTGAAGCCCAGGACGACAACTGTCTTTCTACTAGGCAGCTACATCGACACCTGCGACTCTCAGTGATACCCCCTTCACACATCGTAGTACACGACACAACAGCGCGACTCTGCTCAAAATTTACAAATGTTCTTCTTCGGGCTCGGCGGGCTGTTCACAGGTATTACATGTGAAGTCGCATCTGATAGATTCGCTCGCTAATACGCGCAGTCGCGGTCCTCCTCGTCAACGCCATAGCAATCCTCTCCGAAGACCGCTTCCTCGCACGCAGTACGTTTACCAGGTCCTCATGACCCGCCGCGACCTTTGCGCATCTACGCATCCACTGGCACACGCGAATCTACAATTGAGCATCCAACTGACCAGGACACAGTCGGCTGGACAGCATCTGCAGCAGAACCCGGTTTCGGCGGCCCTCGCGACGATGCCAGTATAAAGGCGCGACTGATCAACCTCGTATCCTCCGTACGGACGCTCATGAGGTGTACGTGTACCCCACCATCCTCTCCATACCCACGTCCCTTGGAGGGGTGGAAGACAAAGCCAAGACAGATTTGCTGACACGATGCAGTACCGTTGATGTTGATCAACACCCTCATGATAATCTATCTACTGGTCCTCGGCTGAGCGCGGCGCATACACGTTACGAACCAAATCCCGACGATTTCGATTAGCATATACACGGCGCAGGAATGGGCGTACGCAAGCGTTTGGCAGTGCACGCTACAAAAGGTTGACTTTATATGAAGGAGTTCATGGGGCCAAGGACTGCATTGAAGAGCATCTGATATCCCTGCTTGAAGCGAGCAACTTGAGAGAGGACATGGAGGGGGGCATATCCTGATGTGAATGGGCGGGGCTGTTGAATCACAAGATACCATACTATTCTTCCGTTGAGTGGGCAGAATGTATCTCACAAATCACTCTGCTTTTAGGCACAACACGGACGTGATCCAGATATTCGTATTTATCCCACACGCAGTCGCAGATTCGGAACTGCAAGCCTAAGCATTATGGCGTATAAGTAGACTGGTGAGGTATATGAAGTGAGTGAAAGTGAATGGAGATATCGGGAGATCATGTGTAGGTCTAATAGAGAGCAGCGATTATGTCGTCCAAATGTAGTGTATGATCTTGTCATCTACGATCTGCGAGTCCCTAGAGAAGAGTGTAAAACTCGCTTCCAGTCCAAGGAAAAGAACTACCACATGGTGTACTCGAATACCACTCTGATTTCTGGGTTTCCAGCACAGCGACGAATACACGCAGACATTTCCTTTTCCAAGTGCTGAGTCCACACATTTTTGTTTTCCGTGTCCCAAGAAACGCAGCCATAGACCACAATGCGCTGGAGGCCTTTCATTGTTTCCAGAGTCCGAAGGGCGGCCAATGCATCGTTCTGCACTGGATGCCTATCAGTCACCGGGACAACGCCACTGGGGAACTCGAAAGCCCTTCTAGTGACCCTGAACGTGGTTATAGCGTCTCGCTGCTCGTTGCTGAGCCGGTTGATGAATGTGCTGATACCCCGAGGCAAGATCTGGAAAGCGTAGAGCTTGAAAGGTAGGAGGCGTGTCTCGGCATAGACCTGGCGGCTGACAGCGAGGAGCCGGAGATCCGCAGGGAGGGGTAGGCGTCGATCAAGATGGCTCACGTACATCTCTGAGAACTTGGGAATCGTGGTGTCGCGAAATACACAGGCATAGATTTGGTTGCGGATCTCGCCCGGGAGGCGCAGAAAGGCCGACTCTCGCTGGTTGCGCGTGGCGCTACAGCGATATTAGTTATGATCTGAGCAGCGCGAAAGTTCCGTAATAACTTACATGACGGCTACTTCTTGAGCAACTCGAGCGTCCATCGTGGTGTTTCGTATCCGTGGACGCTATTCAAGCTTGGTGATGAGCAAAACAGAAGGAGCGTCGGGTGTGGTTTCCAAGGTTACGATAACAGTCCAATCGGGCTAGTGAGAGCAAACAGTCCTCTGATGTCAGCCATGGATTGCTTTGCAATATCGGAAGGTGCGCCTCTTCTCTCACTTCAAACGACCTTCACCTCTTTAGCCACGGCAGCGCAAAGCTCGACCGTCACTCCCGCCCCAGAGAGCACATGTATCCAAAGCCTCTGTGTGTCACTCAAACGGTCGTTCTCACTTTTCACCTCCGCGAACTTGACTTCGCCCTTCTTCCCCTCTTCTTCTGCAACTCGCCAAAGAAACAAATCGGGCACACCGCCACCTCTCTGCCCATACTCTTGCGCCATGACTTTGCACACAGTTGCCAACGCCTCGCCGTCAAAGCAGCGAGCAATCTCAAGCAGATCAACAAAGTCGTATGTCCAGTCCAGACCTACAACGCAAGTCCGACGCTCATGGTGGTCGTCGTAGATTCTTTGGATGATGGCGGGTGCGTCGCCGTTTGATATCTCGTTCAACCTCGCGTTGATCTCGGATATACGAGACGGATAGAAGGCGTCGGTATGTAGGTCCAACGGACAGGTCTGGTACGGAGTCTGGAAGACGTTGGGTACATACGTGAATAGGACGTCGTAGAACAAGTATGCGAAAAGCGTGCGCACGATACCACCTTCAGCGTGATAGCCTTTCCAGCCTTGGTTGCGGTAATGCGAGAGACACATTGCTTCGACGGAGCATTCGCCGTCCTCACGCGGATCAATCCATATAGTCTTTCCACCCCGTCGGCCCGATTTCGCATGTGGTGAGCTATTCCGTCTCGACAGTGAGGGTCTTTCACGTTCGACGCGCGTTCCCTCCATAACAACTTCGACCGGCTTCGTCAAGCGGACATGTGAGAAGTCGTGTTGCAATCGTTTGACAAATTTCAGAGACAATTCAAGTTTGGTGATACGCTTCTGCAAATCATAGTGATAGATAATATGCACAAGGTTATCCTGCAACCCGTCTTCACAGGTCTGCAAAGCAATAAGCTTCCAATGCCTCTTTTGTTTCTCTGCGCTTCTGTTCTCCGCATCGGTCAAGGCGGCCATGTAGTGTTCTTCAAGCAATGCTTTGCGCTGATACCAAGCTCCTCTGCGAGAATGATGGAACAGTCGCTGTTGCAGCAGTTCATTCAAGAGTTCGTGCTCGCGCCTATGCTCTTTCCGTCGTCTGAGTATGTCAAGTGTCTTGTGAATGATGCGCGTGTATACCCAAGCTGGTGAAAGACGCCGAAGGTATGACCCTTCGCCGCTGTGGTAGACGCTGTCCTCTTTTCGCTGCTCTTCTTGAACAAGCACTTGCCAGCGCGGATATACCTCCTCAAAGGTATCCAAGATTTCTTGATACCCTTTCTCCGTTGGTCTTCCGTTGAACTCCAAGATGTTATCTATCCGGTACTGCGTCCGTATAGAAGCCTCATACTCGAGCAATAGGGACCGAGAGGCGAAGATGTTCGCAGATCGAGAGACAATGTACTCTGGAAAGTTCCAGCGCGCAATCTTCGCCAAGATGATGGTTGTCAATGACTTCTCGGTCCACTCGGTAGAGCGGTAAAAGACAAGATGGACACGTTCGAAGAGCTTCAAAGTGGCCAGCGAGAGTCGTATACAAGGGCCTGTTTCTTGCATGATCCTCCGTGTGAAGTGCGCATCGCGATTTGCATCATCGGAGAGATCAGCTTCGGGCTCCAGCTCGACATCGGGCGTCTCTGTTCGTGACCTGGATACGGAAGATGCTCGCGACATCTCCGAGTCCGACCGCGTCAATCCAACATGGCCCAGACCGGTCTGTCTCTGACTTGTGCGTCGTAAAGCCTTCAGAAGCTCACCCTTGTTCTTTCCCTTGACCTTGGCATCCTTTGCAAGAGCCTTCAGTTCATCGAGTTTCAGCAAGGATGATGCTTCCTCGAGTGTGCTTATCTCCTCCTCAGATCGATCCGCGAACGTGAATGTGCTGCCCAGTGTTGTGCCTGCTGGTGCCTCTAGTTCGCCCGGATGTGACTCGACTTCGGAGGAGGAGGCTGGCAGGTCGTATGTACGTTGCAGTGTTTCGGCTGCTGCGTCAAGGTCTGAGATGTCGCTGTGGTAGCCCAGGCTCTTTATGCGATGCCATGCGGAGGTCTTGCGAAGGAAAAGGCGTACGTATCTAGGAGAGAAGTCGAGGTTAGTATGACTCTACTGCTCATTATACTGGAACTTCCATCTTACAGATACTGCGCTTCGTAGCCTATCTCTCTCCACATCCGAAAGACCTCTGTTTCGGCCTCATCAAAAAGGTGACCTTCCTCGTCCAGCACAGTATCCAGCGCGAGGTTGAATGCGTCGACATAGAGCGAGCTCTTGCCTCGAACCCATGACCGCTTTTCCAAGCGCTCATCTGTCCCGACTGTCTTGCTCTCTTCCTCCGCCTTGTACGCTTCATATGCTTTGATGGCGTCATCGCCTGTGTCGACTTGTGGTAGCGCACTCTCGAGATCTGTCTTGTGTTCTTTCTCTTCCTCCTTGATTATAGTGCCATCGTTTTCGTCGTCAGAGTCAAGCACTTCGCGCTTCACAGTCTTGCGTGGTGTTGGTGGTGGTTTCTTGGGGCTGTTGCCCGTCTTCTGGCGCTTGACCGGTCGATCTTGCTCGCCATCGAAGTTGGTGGATTTAGGATGCTTGATAAATCGGGTTATCATCTGATTGTGTACGGAAGGGCTCCGAGGATTGAGCGCCATTGCGAGGTCGCAGCAAGCTGCGGAGCGGCGCCTCGAACCAATGCAAGTAGCACTCGCCACAGGCCAGGGCGACGCGCTGAATCGCGCTGTCACGAGGCACTAACCCCAGTGGAATTTAGCGTGATCGGACCTCTGACGTCATCGCGATGCCCTTTCGATCCTCGAGCGAAGGACCTCCGCCAGGTTCAAAGGACCTGAAAGATGCCTAATCGCGGAGAAAAGACATTTACATTAGAATATACGGTGGTACGTAAGGTGCTTGCATATGACGTCGGTACTACGTGGAGTAAACCTCTACCCATTCTACAAACGTCTAAACGCCTTCCTGGGAAGTGGTCTAGGTGAAGATACCGCAGCCACAATCGACAGCTCTCAATACTTGCCTAACGCGGTAACGTCTGTTCCAGGTTGAGATGAGTTGCGACAGTGATGTACGTGTGGAATCCTACCCCCTAAAAATCCACGGTGGAGAGAACCCATCTATAGAAGGGTATGCACCAAGTAGAATAACAACGCTAGAGGAGCGGGTGGAGGGTAGAGGATGAAGGATATCCTACCGCAATCAACGGCTTGCGATATTGCTTGATTGGGTAACGTCTGGCTCGAGATGAGACGAAATCTGATATATTCAGCACACCCGACGAAGCGCGTCAACTAACAACAGTCCCATAAGTTGGCATCATCATCTTCCTGCCTGCGCCTCCGGCCCTTCGCACCGGACCACTCTCGACTGCGCCAACTCCAACCTACTTCCCATCCATTGATCGCTCTGAATCTCTACTTCGGTATCAATCTGTACGCCCATATAGGGTACACCATTCATTCCCTTCCGACCACTCCCCACTTCCAGATCTTTCCTGTCGTCGCTCCTTTGGATATCTTCTCTTTCCACGAAGGGGTTCTCGCTTCCTAGTACTCTTTGCCCAGATGTATGTATCGAAGTAATGCCAGATTTTATGTCATAGGCGAGCTCAACGTCGTGTGAGGTGAGGTTTGTAAAGGTGCGAACACGGCTCTGGCGTTTGCTTATGGATAGGTTACCGTATCCATGCGAGCTCTGGCCAGGCATCTTTGATTGGCTGGTGGTATAATAGCTTGTGTGTTCACGAAGGAAGCGTATGTGTTCGCGGAGAAGAGGCCAGATGCCGGGGAGATTGGCTACGTATACGGCAACGGATGCCTCACGTGTATACCACAGCATGTACGTCGTGGAGTATACGTCCGATAGGTTGTAAACTTTTGTCAGAATTGCTGCGACAATCTTGTCGGTCGTGTCAGTAAGAAGAAGTCGTGAGATGACGGGAGGGAGGAACGTACAACAAAAATACCCATGCTAAATAGTATGCCTAGCACGACCTTCTGTTTCAGAGGAAGTGAAAGCGACATGATCATCGGTATCGGCACAGCGATGATGAGGACGTCGCTGCTTATGTTGAAAGCTGCCTGCACTATCGCAAAGTGCTCAAGGGTCGTGCATTGCGGATTTGGGGGCGGCACTGCCCAGTATCCTACGAATGGGCGACACGCACTGAAGAAAGTAATCTGGACAGCGAACCAGCCGATAACAACCCATAGTGCAGCCACTTTGATCCACTTCATGTTCGTTGTTCCGGTCAGCATGCGAGCGAACATGAACAGCATACAGGCCTTCAAGGACCATATTACGTTCAGCATGCACTACTAGGTGTCAGTTGTGGTTCATAGTGTGTTTGCATGTCTCATGCTCTGTTGACTTACTTGCTCGGAAACGACGACGATCTTCGATCCTTTGATTCTCTCATCAATCTCTCCTTGACTGAACGTGGAGAACAGCTCTGGTGGGAAGAGGTTACTTCCACCTCCCGTTGCGATTGTGTTCAAGCATACAATCAGCCCAGTGTAGAAGGTTGGTACCGCCGTTGCCATGATCCAATCATCTGCTGCAAAGGCGTGCAGGCTCCTGACTCGATGCCATCGCGCGTATCTGTAGTTAAGAATGAGCACGGCGATATGCTTTGGCTAAGTACTACTAACGTGCGGAGTAAGATCATGACCATGCCAATGCCGTATAATATCCATGACTGCACCGACAATTGCTGCGGGAAGTCGGACATGTCGCTCTCGCCTATGATCGAGATTATGGTAGTATCGCCTGATAGTCGTTCGGCCAAGGGTATCGTGCACGGGACCTTTTATAGAGAAAACGAAT